AAGTAAAGTGGAAAATAAATTAACAGATAGAAAACATTTCCGACAAGATGCTGATGGATTACTCACCATAGATTTTCAGGTGTACATCGGTATTACTTTGTTTATCTGTTTGTATCTTCACTCTGTAATCTCCCTCATCAGAGATATTTAGGTTGGAGATCTGTAGAGATCCATTGGGGAAAGCTGTCATCCTATCACGGATGAACAGAGGTCCAGGAATTATTGGATCATCACCAGGGACATATGTAAGGATTTGATATTGTCTGCCTGTGGGCGGTCCTTTATACCAAGTAATAGTCTGAATTTCCCCTGTAATCCCCGTAACACTCAGAGTGACAGATCTCCCGATGACCGGATACGGAGGGATCACCTCAATACTCATCATTCCACTGGACACATCCACCAACACACCGAGGAGAACTGCAAGAGAAAGTGACAGATAAGAATGTCAGTAAGATTACATGCTGCTTGAGGGTTAGAAACTGATGTGAATGTACAATATATACACACACAGTATATACCGGGATTTTTTTCTCAGATAATAGGTGCAGAAAATCCCCCTTTTGAGTCACTTCTTGTCTCCTCCCCTTACCCACCTCCGAGCACCGTCCCTTGGTTCCACCCGCTACCCACCTCCCAATACTGCTCCTTTTAGAATAGACAGAGCACTATTATTTTGTGCTGCTAAATAATTTGTTAGTAATAACAAGAAAAGCAGTAAAATAGATCCCCCGCAGCCAGCAACAATAGATTACCCCAGCAAAAATGAACCCCCACAGCAAAATACCATCCTAGCAACAGTAGGCCCCAGCCGCAACAACAGATCTCTCAGCAGTCAGCAAAAATAGACTTTCCAGCAGCCAGCACCAATAGACCTTTCCCTTAACAGTAGATCCCTTGCAGAAACAATTCCCACCCAGTAACAAAAGATCCCCATAAGCAACAATAGAACTCCCCAGCAACAGCAGAAGATGACCATGCAAAAATAACTCCCCTCCAGTAACAATAGATCCCACAGCAGCCAGCATCAATAGACCTTTCAACATATCCCAGCACTCCTTGCCATTACATACATTCAGTGCTGAACTTCATTTCCCACGTTCCTGTTGAAAAAAAAGCCCCTTATATTTATGCAGCACTACCCAGAGGCATCCCTAGCGTTGGTGTCACCTGGTGCGGTAACACTAGGTGACACCCCCTCCGACGATCCCCACAGAATGGCTCGGATCTGCGGATTGAGCATAATGATCTGACTCCAATCCATTACGCCTAATCTGCAGATCTGATCCATCCTGCGGGGATCGTCGGCTTTCTTTACAACTTATCTTTTCTTGGAGCGGGTCCGGTGTAGCGGCAAGATGTGTCTCCCATGTAGATATGCCCCCCTGACGCAACTGTGCATGTCCTGGTTGAAAGGGGGGACATATCTACATGGGAGACACATCTTGCCACTACACCAGTGTCACTCCGTATAGGTTGCATGCAGACGATACCTGCAGGATCGTCGGCATGCAACCTATACAGGGTGACACTGGACCCGCTCCAAGAAAAGGTAAGTTGTAAAGAAAGCCGACGATCCCCACAGGATGGATCGGATCCATCCTGCGGGGATCGGATCGGCTTGCTTTACAACTTATCTTTTCATGGAGCGGGTACGGTGTCACCCCGTGCGGTCCGTGTCACCGGCTGCAGACCGCACCCCCCGCACCTGCCTTGGGACGCCACTGGCACAACCCCCTTAGGAGGTCCAATAGATTTAGGTCCCCCTATAGTCCTGCACAACCAGGCAACATGCATTTTCCACAGACTTGCATCCAGGAGTCATTTATTAGTCCTTGAGCTTGTTTTTTTTGGTGTTTATTATGGGTATTTCAACTTGGATAGGGTAGTGGGGTATATGGGATGCCCAATTTGGACAACTTCCTAGAACTATTTACAAGTCTTTGCTGCAACAAAGTTTCTCTTGGAGAGCTAGCCAGCATCTCCTATAGTACCACTCCAGACCCCAGATAAACTCCTCTTCTTTACCCAGCTGTCTGGAGATATCCCTGAGCAAGGGGTCTGGTGCCTGCCACTTTAAGAAGTTAGAGAGCCCAGTAGGTGGCGAATCTGGTTTCCCACCAGAGTGCCCCTTCCCCTTTCTGGCCCAGGGGGTGCAGGTCTACTCACTCATGTCCTTCTCCTGTGTGGCTGGTGGGTTGGTGGTTGCTACCAGGCCTTCTAGCTGGCCTGCTCCTTCCCTGCTACACAGGTGGTCCTGGGTGCTGGTGAGGGCCTGAGTTCTCTCCATCTGGGCCCCCTCCCAGGCACCTTCCTTCAGCCTCACATTCTCTCTCTGTCTTCCACCTGAACTCTCCTGCAGCTGAAGCCGGTAATTACCCCCTAGCGCCCGGGGATTACCGGCAATCACCGACGGGAAGACTGTTTTACAAACAGTCTTCCTCCCTGTCAGCTCGGGCACACTGCTCGGGATGGCTGTGCACAGCATAGCCATCCCAATCACTGTGCTTTCAGTAAAGCACACCCCCCCCCCCCCCCCCGCCTCCTAGTAAAACACTCCCTACGTATAGTTAACCCTTTGATCACCACTCACATTAACCCCTTCCTGCCCAGTGCCATTAGTATAGTGTCAGTGCTTTTTTTTAGCACTGATCACTGTATTGGTGTCACTGGGGTGTCAGTGACACCAAGTTAGTTCCCCCGCAGTGTCAGAATGTCCGCCACAGCTGCCCGCTAAAAATCGCTGATCACTGCGATAACTAGTAGAAAAAAATAAATGAAAAAAATCCCAGTATCTATACCGCCATTTGTAAACGCTATAACTTTCACATAAAGCAATTAAATTACACGTACTGGGATTTTTTTTTTTTAGCAAAGACACGGAGCAGAATACATTTTGGCCAAAATGTATGATGGAATTTGATTTTGTAAATTTTTATACTGGACATGTTTAATAGCAACAAGTCCAAAATATTGTTTTATTTTCTCAAAATTATGACTTTTTTTGCTTATATCAATAAATAAAAAATGCACAGGTGATCAAATACCACCAAAAGAAAGCTCAATTTATGAGAAAAATAAAAATTTTATTTGGGTGCAGCATTGCAATTGTCAGTTAAAGTAACACAGCTCCATAAACAAAAATGGCCTGGTCAGGAAGGGGGGGTAAATCCTCAGGAGGGCAAGTGGTTAAAGTGTTTCTAAAGGCAGAAGGTCATGCTATGCATGAAGATAAAAAAGCTTCTGGGTGCAGCCCCCCCTTATACTTATCTGAGCCCCATCTCGATGCAGCGATGTGCATGAGATCTCCCGGGTCTCTTGCTCCTCATTGGCTCACAGAGCAGTGGGAGCCATTGACTCCTGCTGCTCTCAATCACAGCCAATGAGGAGAGAGTAGGGGGTGGGGCCACAGCTTGAGGCCTGCTATTACGGGCACTCAGAAGAGGGGATGAGTCAGGACTGCCGGCGGGGGACCCCAAAAAGAAGAGGATTGGTGATGCTCTGTGCAAAACCATTCCGCAAAGCAGATAAGTATAATATGCTTTTTTTTTTTCCTAATTAAACCAGAATGAATGCAAAGGGGTCTCCAATGTATGCCAAAACACAGATCCTCTGCATGTTCCATAACAACTGATGTAACCTTAGTATAATATAATTTATATATAAGCAGATGGGGCCTCACACCACATAGCTGTTGGTAGACCTAAAGAAGAATGTACAATACTATGTGCGGTTAGTTTAGGAACCCAAAGTGATACTTCACCCTAACGAGAAAGTTCTGCTTTGTGTCCTCCTCCCATCTCATGTAACACTTTTGGCCATTTTTTTTGGGGGGGGGGAGAGGGTTACCTATTTTCGGTAAGTACCCACTCCCACTTCTGGTCAGATCGCTTAGCTCAATCTTGCAATTCCTCTTTGGACTTGTAGTTTTGAAACAGCTGGAGGGCCACCAGTTTGACACCCGTGTCGGGTGTCAAACTGGTGGCCCTTCAGCTGTTGCCAAACTATAAATCCCAAGAGGCATTGCAAGATTGACAGTTACAAACATGACTCCCAAAGGCAGAGGCATGATAGCACTTGTAGTTTGGCAACAGCTGGAGGGCCACCAGTTTGACACCCCTGGCCTAATGGATGGAGATGGACATTTGTCCTCCCTCTCTTTGCCCACAGCCTTCTGAGACACGTTACAGGAGGCCATTCACAAAGCGCAGCGTGGTTCAAACATGCGTAATGGGAAGCCGGCTGTGAAGCCTCAAGGAATCACTTCCCACATTAAATGTGCCGGAAACCACAGATCCGAAGACCGATGAAGAACTGGCACGGGAGCGAATAGCACTGGATAATCGGACAGATAAGTGTCTTTTTAATAAACGTCAGCAGCTACAGTATTTGTATTTTCATATTCTACAAAATGGCTGAAGATCCTATTTAACACCTTCATGCCGGATCGTGCCGACGTGAAGAGGAGTCCCTGCGCCGGGAGGTGGGCAGGACGGGGCGGGGCTTAGTGTCATGTGGCTCTGTGACGTCACGGCCTGTCACATGATCGGGAAAGGTCCCGATCGAAAGAGCGGGCTGGGACCTTTCCGTGAGTACCGCACATGTGTGCTGGCAGAGCGTAGGGCGCGCGCTCTCAGCACATATGTTTTTTGTTACATGAACGCAAATGTGTGGCCCGCTCGGCGTCTAGGCCCAGACGCTGGGAGGCCGCACATTTGCGTGCAGCCGGTGTGATGGGGTTAAGCTGGCCATAGTCAGACTGAAATTTGGCCATTTCAGCAGGAACCAGACAAATAATGACCCATCTATGGATTGGCTGATTGTACTGAAGCCAATCAATCGCAGTACAACCAGTCTATTTGTTTTTCTTTTATTCATGTGATAACTGCCAGCAGTAGTGATCATCGTATTCTGACCTTGGGGGTGGGGGTGGGGATGGATGGTGTTGTACAGAATGTTGTACATAAATTATAATATAAATTTGAAGTGGAAGTAAATTTGAATCCGCCCCTTCAGGCCCTCTCATGTGGCCCTCGCACCTCTCCTGCAGGTACCCCCTTGTCTCCACCCCCACCTTGCCTCAGCAGTCAGAAGCAGAGGAGGATAATAGAACTCCTCTGCCAAAACAAGCACCTCTCCGTGTAGCTGCAGCACCCCCTCATCTCCGCCTCCCCTGGTCTCAGCATTCAGCAGACTCTGGTAACTGACTCCACTCCTCCTCTGGTCCTCCTCCAGAGGCTCTGAGGAAGAGGCTAGTCTTCAAAACGCTTCAGACATTTTGGATGTCCATCATTCTCATCACCATTCAGAAAAGCAGTGCGAATTGGACAGAGCGGTCTCATATGATGTGCTTATATTCATGTACTTTTGTGAGTAGAATACCTTCTTTTAAATTTAATAAACATACTTTTAAAGGTAATGCACTAGGCCAGTGAGCCCTCTGTTTTGTTTTTCTCTATTAGTACTTATGCACTCCCTGGTTCTTTGAGGGTGGCAATGCGTGCATATTCCAAGACATTCGTTGTGTGATCCCTATGACATAGAGTCCACCCCTAAGCGCAGCAGTATTTGGGTTTTCCACTTTCACATCACAGGTCCTCCTCCAGACCCTGAACTTTCTGCTTTCCAGCTCTGCCCCCAAAGGGGGTGCATGGTGATGGGAGGATGTGGGATTCTTGACATCTGATGTAATGGGGGGGGGGGGTGCTCTGAACATCTAGTCTTACAGATACAACCGGCCCCTTGAGGGCAACCGTAATGCGGATACGGCCCGTGATAAAATGGAGTCTGATACCCCTGCTCTAAAGGAATTACCCGCAATTTGTTTCTAATGATCATGAACAATGTCAGCAACATATGCACGGAAATTTTTAACAAACTGAATTTTTTTATGCAAGAGAAAAAAAGAATTCTGAAACATTAAATACAACAGTCTCTGCAAGTTGTATAGTTTAGTGTGAGCATAAAAAATGCCTACACACCACACAAATGACAGACCGCCGACAGAAAGACCAGCTTACAGTAAACCTCTATCTTAACCGCACTAACAGGATAATTTTAGAGAAGGCACTATAGGTAGGATGTGCTCATCTCCACCAATGGCCAAAGCTGGTGCTAGACTGGGTCAAAATTCCTGTGCAAGTGTTCTGAAAGGAGAAACCTCAGTAGAGTTCAGCAAACTTCTTACTGGTCCCGTGTGATAACTTTGAAGCCTGACAACTGACCACTTTTGTAAGCAGTGGGGTGCTATGGTGACAACGGTGGAGTTATGTGTTCTCCAATTCCTAGA